TCGTTATGGGTTTAATGGCAGCACTAAGACACTAGCTAGAGTGACTTAAACTCCACTAAATTCATGCAGGAAATGCAGGGACAGCAATGAAAACAGTGACTAAAAATTATATATGCGATGATATACATGCAAAATTTAAGGTTAACGCAAGGCTAGACCATAGGATGTTTTTTTAGTACATGACATGCATGCCTACCATGCTCTGATACCAAGAATGATGTAAAACAATATATGCAAAGATGAGTTACTTAATGAATTTGCACGTTTAATTTTAGAATCCATAATAATCACATCTTTATATTGGTTTTAAACAACAAAAGAAAACATAAAGAGCGGTAAGACAAGCTTAGGCTAAACCACATGCATAGGAGTTAAGATCGTAAAATAGACAACTTAATCTATGTTGCAAGCATGGATGGTTTTCAACAAGATATCCCTAGATTAACAATGAGACAAGTCACTATGACATATTCCACTCATTCAACTCTTTAAGATTACTAGGTTTTAGCAGAGATCAATAATAAGCTCCATAAGAATCCATTAAGACACGGAGTAGGATAACTAAGAAAATAAGTGACTAGGGAAAGAGTTCACCAATATTAAATAATATGCAAATATGGGGCTTCCAATCAGCAATCCCCTTAGCCTCCATAGTCTGGACAGCAACCTGGAATAGCTATGGAATTCTAGACAGCAACTGAAACCTTTTGGTTGAGAGATAATGTGTAGATATGCCCGCAGAAATCCGTGGACAGCAATCTGGCCTTCATGGAGCAGCAGTTTTGCAAAGGCATTGGGCTAGATTCAATGATGAAGACGTCAAGAACTTCTGGACAGCAGGATCACTCCAGAAGGAACTCTGTTTTCAGCAATCACGGGAAAGATTTGGAAGGGCTAACAAGTGGAGGGAGGGAAATGGGATGACCGGATAGAGAAGGGAAGGGGAGCACGGCTTCGGGCCAGATTTGGGCTCTGTAGTTAGGAAGCCAAGGAGGAAAAATCTGAAATGTATTTCAGATTTGGTGAATTAGGAATTAGGAGGAAGTTCGAATTTCAAACCCCAAATAATTAAGGAGAATAAAGGGGTGGCTGATTTGGGGAAGGGGCCGGTTGATTAAGCGAGCATTAATGGGTTGATTGGAGGCTTGATTGGGAGCTTTAATTAGATAGGAAAGAGATTGGAGGGGGGCCCGGCCATGAGAGAGGGGAGAGAAAGGTGTCCAAGTTCGATGTATGTGGTCCCCATGCAATCAATCTAATTATATGATTAAATCTGAATTAATTTCAGATTTTAGGGATTGAATGGGTTTCCAAAAATAGGATTCATTAATATGGGATTAATTTGAAATTCAAATAAGTTTGAATTCAAATCAAGAAGTTTTCATATTAATAGAAAGATATTTTAAAAAAGTAATTAAGGAAAATTTGAATTTTGAAATTCAAAACTCATGGAAGTTTGGGAGGGGCCAGCGGCTAGAAGGTTCAAGGGACCAGTGGCTATGGGGTTTGGTGGCCGGCGGGTGGCTAGTGCTTGAGTAGGGCCGGTGGTGGGATGTGGGGTTTCCGGGTTTGGGGAAGGAGCAAGAGGTGGCCGGCGGTATGAGGGATATGGAGGGAAAACAAAAAGAATACGAAAGAAACCAAAGAAAGGTAGAATCGAAAGCCCAAACCTTCCGGCGGCTGTCGGGTATTGTGTTGGCCCTCTTCTAGGGTGATCTCTCCTCTTCGAAGCACACAAGCAATAAGAGCAAGAAGAAAGAAACTGAAATTTGTCTATTCATTCATCATCCCATTGCATAAGAAGATGGCCATATATATAGGCCTCAAAATGACAAATAAAACAAAAAACTAGAATGCCCCTTGGGCTACAATAGCGATCAACTACCCATAAGGGCAAAAACGGAAAACTGAAATAAAATGATTAATACAAAAAATGCATCAAAAGTAAAGACTCTCCATCATGAGCCAAGGTGTGCACCATTTTGCGCCATTGACATGGATATCATGTGTAAAATTTGTCAAATAATTATAACATGAATTTTTTAATACATTGTGTTAATGCTAGGGTATTTTCTTAAAGCGACATGTTGTATGGCTTGGATACAGCAATAAGAATGCAAGGGCCGCAACACCGACTCCCAGGTGCAATGTTAAATAAGCAAGAGTTCCATATTATTGATGAATGTGGGCAAAGAAGATAGTCCGTGGAACTAGAATTATGATAGGAACTTTGAATGTAGATTCCCTTACAGGCAAATTAATGGATAAATATATAGTATGATTCATAAGAAAATAAATATTATATGCATTCAGAAAATTAAATGGGTTGGAGAGAAGACTAAACAGATTAATAGTTTAAGATTTAAACTATGGTATTCTGATAGGAGTTGTACTAGAAATAGTGTAAGTATGATTATAGATAAAAGTTGGAAGGATAATATCATAAAAATTAATAAAATTATAAATAGAATTATAGCTTTAAAGATTATTATTGATGCTATGATTATTGATATTATAAGTGCTTATGCTCAAGTAAATTTAAATATATGTGCAAAACTAAAATTTTGAAATGACTTTAAAGAATTAATACAATAAATAACCCTTTAATAAAGAGTTTTTATTGGAGGAGATTTAAATAGACATGTTGGTAGAGAGGTAAATGATTTTAAAAACATTTATGCATGCTATGGGTTTAGAGCAACTAATGAGGGGGGTAAGACCATTTTAGATTTCACATGCTTTTGTAATTGCTAATACCTTATTTAAGAAAAGAGATGAGCATCTTTTCACTTATAAGAATGGATAAAGTAAAACTCAAATTGATTATTTTCTTATAAGAAATATAGATCGTTTAAATTATAAAATTATTTTGAATGTAAGCTTATGTACCCAATATCACTTATTAGTTTTGGACTTTAAGATTAAGGGGTAGAATATAAACAATAAAGTAAAATATTATTTTTAATTAAATAATAGGGGCATTTAAAGTACAGTAACAAAAATATTTTTTGAGTAAAATTATAAATTTTAAGATTTTGTTTGTGCATGAGAAAGCTAATGTTAGGTGGAAAAAAATAACTAGTGTTATTAAGGTTGTTGCAAAGGATGTGCTTTGAGTATTAAGAAAAAAACACGTAATAGTAAAAATAGTTGTTGATGAAATTAAAATAAGCAAAAAAAAGATTAAAAATAAGAAGTTTTATTATAAAAAAATATCTTAGATGTAAAACTCTGAAAAATTGAGAAAGATATAAAAAGGCCCGTAAGGAGTCTAAAATAGCAATATGCGATACAAAAAATTTATCTTTTAATAATTTATATAATAGATTAGATACTAAGAAGGGAAAAAAAATAAGTATAAGTTGGTCAAACAAAGACATAGTAGCAATAAGGATTTAGTTCAAGTGAAATGCATTAAGGATGAAGATTTAAAAATGTTTTTATTAAAAGAAAAAATTTAACATAGCTAGATAGATATTTTGCTAAACATTTCAACGAAGATTAAGAAAATACGATTGAGTTTAGTTACCTTAGCACCCTAAATGAAAATATATATTTTTGTTTTTATCGGCATATTAATAACATCGAAGTTAGTGAGGCTTTAAAGAAAATGATGTGTGGAAGAGCTATTAGACCTGATGATATTCCAATAGAGGTGTGGAAATGCTTAGGAGATAAAGAAATTTCTTGGCTTACTAAACTTTTTCATATTACTTTGAAGACTAAAAATATGTCAGATGAGCGGAGGAACGTGTTGATTCTTATTTATAAGAATAAAAGTGATGCACAAGATTGTGCGATTTATAGAGGAATTAAGTTAATGTATCATACTTTAAAACTATAGGAAAGAGTTATGGAGCATAGGTTATGACATGAAACTAATGTTTCTCAAAATCAATTTGGATTCATGTCGGTTAGGTCTATTACGGAAGTTGTTGATGTAGGTAAAGTTTCGAGTTCCCCCCTCCCCCTTTAGCTTCGAATGATGCTTCATTTTCCCCCTGTTGATGCTTCAGTCCCCCCCCCCCCTCCCTTGGATGCCATGTAATGTTTCGGTTTCCCCCTTTTGGCAGCTATTTCTGTTTTTGTTTTGCCCTGTTTGCTGCTACCTTTTCAGTTCCTGTTTGCTGAGATTTTTGAGGAAATTCTAGTGGATGTTTGGATGGTGCATTAACTATCTTGCATTTAATTTTTTTTTTCTTTTATTTCCTATATATAGTGGTTGTTTTCCTGCAGTAAGAGTATGAGTTTTTGATGATTTTTGGAATGTAAACATATTGGTTTTCACTCGCTTGCGAGCTAGCCTCCTTCCCATACCCCTCTAAAACTTCGTCTCAGTCTTCTACCTCCTCTATCCACGGTTTCCGCCCCATCTCTATCTTTCTTCTAAAAAAATTTTGTAAGCTATAAGGTTGTACTTGTGTCAATATGTCAAGTCTAGCATTTCTCAATGAAAAATGCCTTTAAGTTGTAATATTTGTGTATATAATTATATTTTAAGAAAAGAAGATCCGAGTCCTTGCAATTTTTTATGGGCGATAAGCCATGGCCTCAACCTTAGAGTCTAAAGGTTCTTGTTTGAGTACATCTAAAACCAAATATATGGAGTATAATTTTAGAAGTAATAGATTTGATGGGGGAATTGTGACTTTGGGCAATCAAGTCATTAATAAGGATACACGTTTTAGATATTTTTGGTCTATTGTTTAGAGTAATGGTGGAAAAGATGAGGATATTATTAGTAGATTTCAGGTTGGATTGTTGAGGTGGAGGAATGCATCAAGCTTGTTGTGTGATAAAAAAGTCCCACTCAAACTTAAGAGAAAATTTTATAAGATGGTGGTAAGAACTACAATGTTTTATGGTGTAGAATGTTAGTCATTAAAAGAGAAGCATAATATTAATTTAAGTGTTGCAGAGATGAGAATGCTCGGATGGATGAGTGGCTTTACTCATAGAGATAGGATATGAAACCAGTATATACGTGAAAAGGTTGGAGTAGCTCCAGTGTAAGATAAGATTATAGAGAGTCACCTTAGATGGTTTTGTCGCATAAAACGGTGGACTTCCGATGACCCGGTTAGGAAAGTAGATGTATTAGATTTGGCTTATGTTAAAAAGATAGAGGCGGACTTAAAAGGACTTAATTAGAAAATGTTAGAAATAACCTTTCTTTATTAGATTTAAATGAGAATTTTACTATTAACAGGATATAATGGAAAAAAGGAATTCATATAGCCAACCCCACGTAATGGATAAAGGCTTGATGTTGTTGTTATTGTATTATTTGTTTCCCTAAAGGTTCTATGTAAACGATTAGGGTAAATAAAGCTATAATGCACCAAATACCTTAAATAAGCTTTACACAACTTTGGATATTGAGGAGTCTTAATCAACACGTCTATCATTTATGTGATTCATGTCATTAATGATAAAATAATGTCATCAACTATTAAGGCTGTGTTACTTGTACATCAACATAAAGATCATGTATGATAGAAGCTGATCGAATTGATAAAATGATAATTCATGAAAATTCCTAAAGGATATTTTTGAATGCAAAAATGATTTATGATTATAATATGAATAATTTATATTTAATGGCTTTGAATATGCATCAAGTATCTATATTAGACCATGTTCATGAACTTTAGGGTGCGTTTGAGACGGCTGGTGCTGTCGGTAAAGCAGGTTGTGAAATTGTTGTACATAAAGCTGCTTTTTTAAGTTGCTGTATAGAAATCAGTCAATGTTGTTTGGGTATTACTACTACCGAAGTGTTGTGCTGCTGCTGTTTTACAACAAATTACCTTGTTACCCTTATATATATGAAGATGAATAAAATTTGTTCAAATTTAATTTTTTTAACTCTTTATGTTAACAATTTTGATATAAAATTTAACTATTTTATTGCTCTATACATATTTAAACCAAATGTATAAAGTAATAAAAAAAATCAAAATCAAAACTCCTGCGACGCTGAACCAATATCCCCCTTCCCTTTGCCAGTCTTCTTCGCCAGTAAGGTCTGGTGTATGTTTGGCAGAACACCACCATTAGCGATTGTCACAGAACCCAAAAGCTTGCTAAGCTCCTCATCATTCCTCACGGCAAGCTGAATGTGTCTAGGCACAATCCTATTCTTCTTATTATCTCTCGTTGCATTCCCCGCCAACTCAAGAACCTAGATTACAAAAGCAATAAGACCACCTACAGCCAAATATTGCAGAGAACAAGAAACCTAACTCATTCAAAAATAGATTAGTATACCAACCTCAGCAGCTAGATACTCAAGGACGACAGAAAGATATACGGGAGCACCAGCACCAACACGTTCAGCGTACTTGCCAGCCTTAAGGAAGCGAGCAATCCTCCCGACGGGGAACTGCAAACCGGCCTTATGAGATCTAGACACAAATTTCGTGGCTTTGGCCTTGCCACGCCCTCCCTTGGTAGATGCAGTAGAGCTCATGGCGGCCAAAAATCAGAAAGCAAACCCTAGCTTTTGAACGAGGAGAACGACGACGCTGCAGAGAAAAATATGCCCATCGGAGAAGGCGCGCATCGAAGAAGCAGCGACTCGGCTTTTCCGTCTTTTATGCCCTTCGAAACGGCGGAAAGCAGTGAGCCGCAACGGACCGCGGGACGCAATGGAAGGTCGCGAGAAGCAGCGGCGGACAGCAGAAATTTTTCTAACTTTGTTCTACCGCAATGTCCCAAATGAGCACTTAATAAATTTTTATAAAGCAAAGCAGCCGTGAAGCCGTCCCAAACGCACCCTTAATCTACACTTGGTCAAAAGTCAAAATTTGAATATGAAATTAAAATTGGGCACGATCATATTTGTATCAAAACTACATAGAAGTATTAAGTCTATTTCTGAATGTAAAGATGAACCAAATGCATATATTGTAGTTGATAAATTAAATGAGCAATAAAAAAATAGTTCTTGATGAATTATCTTTTGCCATTTTTCCTATGATTAATAATCAGATTGCTATTGATTTTTTCTTTGGTTAGTGTCAAACGAATTCATTGAATGAACCCATGACAAAAGCTATGTGGCATCAATATTTCTGAGAATTTGTTGGTTCCAAATATCCTAAAAAATAAGAAATTTGAAACACAATCCATCTAGTTAATTTTAAAGGTGTAAAAGTCATCACAATTTAAATTTAAACTATATAGATTAATTATCCTTCAATAGATTTTTCATCCACATATGCACATCATAATTACGTAATTTGCCTACTTACAATTTTATTTGTATTTCAATTTCTAGGATTTCGTAATAACTTACTATTAATATCTATTAGAATGCGCGTTTAAATTTCAACATTTATTATTTTTCTCATATCATGTGCATAATTTTCATGATTTGTTTGAATTGCGTAGAGATATTCTCAACAAAATAGTTGCTAACTATGACAAATATAAGTGGCTGATGTGAATAGGAGGTATCTAGAGCTTAAAACTTAGTGATTAAGTCATGGTGCATTTAAATTAGAAATACTTTCATTGAAAATATTTAAGAAATTAAATGAGAAGGCAGTATCATTTAAAATTTTGTAATGCTTGGAAACAAATGCCAACAAATTGAATGTTTCAAAAAAATGTGCTATTAATCTAGGTTTCAATGCGTCATATTTCATGACCCTACAGTCAATTCCTAGCGGTCTTCTCTTTTTCCACTGCTTTTATAAGAAATGACATCTAATTCTCTGCCATATAATTCAATATAGCTTATTCTCGAAGGAATTTTGCATTCACTATTGTTGATGAATTCAACAAAATATCCTGTTCACAAACAAAGACAGGCCTAATTTATTGAAGACTCGTGACTAATTTTTAGGACATAAAATCTAACAGAATTTGCTTGATAAATGTCAAAGGCTAAATTCAAAACCAATTTTGCTTATGATGGCCATATTTAAAGAAATTTGTGATTATTCATGCTGGAAGCATCACATCAAATAATGATAGAAGTAAAATTTACATATTTTCATTAATTGATTTATTATGTAATTTCAAGTAGTTAAGAGACATGCCCAATAATGAAGGCCTTGAGAAAAGGAGTATTTATTTTTTAATATTAGGTTCATTTATAGGAGTTGGTATGATATCAAGTTGGCATGATCAATGGTTACCTTCAAGTTCAATTAAAGTACTATTTAACTTTCCTATTGGGGTGTCATTACGGTGATATCAAAGCTCAATTCATTAAAATTGACTTTTTTCAAATAAGACTATAATCGCGATCTGACTTCACTTCTTTCTAAAAATATAGTTTTTGAGATTGTTTCTAGGTCTATAACACGTTTTCGCTAAATATATTTATGGGTTACAAAATTCCTGTTAATGCCATGTATGGCTGGTTTGTAGTTCACAAATTCTGCCATTGTGAACCTGTAATTTGTCTCTTCTAAGGGAAAAAGTATAAACTTTAGGGTTTTTTTAATTTCATTATTTTGGTTGATCTTATACTAACTATATCTATTAACCTAGGGATGAGAAATCTATATTTAGATGTTTTGAGCATGCCAAAAAATGCTGGAATAAAAATTTCCCTCTCAAACTTCAATCTTGTGTGCAAGTTGGATATGTGCTTCATCTGAGTGCAGTATAATAAAAAATATTTGGAGAAGTCATCTCCTTATAATAGGATGAGATCATGAATTAAATTTCTTCTAAATACTTTATTATTGGCTTATTAGTACAATTGATTTTATTTAAATTTTATACAATTGAGAATTTATTTGTGGTGATTAAATTACAATTGCTACTTGATTTTATGTGGTTCAGATTTGTTGCTAAGTTCTTTAAATTTACCCTATCATTACAATATCATTTGGATTCTAATTCTCGAATTTACTTTTGCATTTAGAGAAAGTATGCTCCCACATTTAGTAATTCGTGATATTTGAATCCTAAATTCCCTTATCTGATCTATATGCACCATGCGTCTTGTTGCATCAGGAGACTCTAAACCGTCCTGCATCACAGGTAAGATAAATTAACGTGGAAGTTGTTGAAAAGAAATGGAAAATCAAAGATAATGTAGCAAGAAATCGTTTCAAAAGACTCAAGTAAACTATATCCAAAACACTAAAATGAAATGAGAATTCTGAGAAATCATGAAATTTATCTAAAATAGTTATGCAGATGATAATGATAGTAAAACTAACACAACAAATTTTATCCGATATATGGGAAGCAAAGTGACTGCGAGTGAATAATTTCTTCTAAATGAAATTTTAGGTAAGAAGATCTAATCAGGCAGCATAATCATATTGACAGTGCCAACACCTAATTAACACTTCCCTGAGCTCACCTCAGACTCATCATCAAGAACTCTCTCCATTAGATAAAAATCACAACATTTGGTAATTTCTTGAAGAACTTCAACCACAGAAGGCCTCACTGTAGCATGTTTCTGCAAGTAAAGGTTTTGAACTTGAAGATATTTATGCATCTAGAATCTAAGAAAGCCTGAAGTTTTGATTTCAACCTGAAGCTCTTCAGGATTTTTTTCTTCCAGAATGACACCAAGCAGCTGGCAAGTCACCTGTGCAAAGCATACATAAAATCAAAATCATGATGGGCAATAGACGCATCTTTTCCATGGAGAAGATGATTTTACATAAGCATCATGCCGCAGTTAAAATCCTATGTATAATTGGAATTGATTCGTGATGTCCCTCAAAATAATTTCCTCATACAAAAAAGTTTATTGATTAGCTGATTTCAAACAAGCTAAATAGCATAATTGAATGATTTAAAACATTCCATTAATGCATAAGCCAGTCATCCTTAATTAGCAGACTTATTGCATGCTATTTTCTATATAAGCAAGAATTATGTAACCATGAAAGTAATCATTTACGAGAAATTAAATTGTTTGCTTGGTTCAAATAATTTGAAGATAGTTTGGCGACTTTTTTCTTCCCTTTCAAATTCTTTAGTGAAAGCATAAATCATCTTTATAATTTCATGAAGTTTCTTCGGTGTAAACTTCAAAATATCATAATTACCTCTTTTTGATTATTTGTATGATCCCTCCCCCACTCTTTATTGTCGCATCACTATTCCCAAACCCGGAAATACTTCACACAACATTATAAACACATACCACCCCACTCTCCATTATTCTCCTACATTTAGTATCAAAGCTAAAGCAGATACCTAGCATCCTATGGAAGAATTTGAATCTCCAAGAAAAGCAACCATCAATAATTTACCATAAAATATCAAAATTCAAGTTGTGGTTAACTCCTTTCAAAGGTGAAGTTGGTAAGAATTTATTTGAGTATGTTTATCAACATTGATTGATTAGCAATACATAAGACCTATAAATATTTCATATTTGTCATTATTTCTTTTGTGTGGATCATCTTAGCACACCAACATGTGTCAATGGATAATCTTGCAAACCTTAACAAAGACTTTAAATAAAATAATAAACTTAATCATACCTTTGACACATTACACAACAAGTTGAAAGATGTCAAATATCTAATCAAAGAAACTGGTTATTAGTGTTCAACACCTTGCTGATATATTGGCACCTCCACTTTATTAAAATCCTGAAGTAGTCTTAATGCATAGAAACCTCCAACTGACAACTCTAAAATTATTTAGTCACATGAGAAATCTTCTACACCAATTCCACAAAAGTTCACATTTAAACCTATTCCAATGCCCATTCAAAAACCATAGGCAAGGTCCACTTGTCTATAAATAGTTCTCCATCCATAAACCTATCCAGTACCCAACAGCTATTTCTAATAATATAGTTTCTTCAATACCAAAAACATCATGTGCACTTCCTAAATATGCAAATGTTAATCAACGTCTTCTTACTATTATAAATCCTTCCATAGTGGTAAACAATAAAAAATATATTCAAGCTACCCCATTGTGAGACTATGTTCATTTAATACACTTCAAGCCTCCTTCGACAAAAACTTGTTTCATTAATAATAATTCAAGCAAGTTATGACCAACTCCATGCAGGTATGAAAAAGATGATGCAACAAAGGAATCTAATTTCAAGCATGAATATGATGAAAATCAAACATGTGGATGAAATGGATGGTTAGATTTTCACCCGTTATTTTCATGGTTGGCCTCCTCAACCACAAGAGTATATGATGACCAAGACTAATCAAACTTCATTAAAACAAGGTCTGTTCTTTCATCACTATGGATCAATATGTGCTTAAATTAGGTGTCGCTCTCTTACCAAAAAAAGTGAGGTTTAGATCTAAAGCATTTGAAATACATCATATGCATATTTTTACAAACACTCACTTTTCAATTATGTCATGTTTGGCCATCAATAAACTAAATATTGTACTAAAGAGTGATTTAAAATTTTCCATTATGTGATAGGCTAGCCACCCGTGATTAGTCTAGGATTATTTCACGACATCCTCTATAAAGGCAAGTTATGTAACCATAAAAGAATCATTGCAAAGAAATAAAATTGTTTGTTGGTTTACAAGTAATTTGAAGATAGATTAGTAGCTTTCTTCTTCCCATGAAGTTCTCCGGTAAAAGTTGTATTCAACTTTATAAAGACTTCGATGTTAAAATCATCCCTTCCGAATACTTATATTATGCCCCCCTCTTCTTTATTGTTGCTCCCAACTTTATAGCTTGGTTGACCACGTCACTATGCTTACAACCTAAATACTCTGCACAATCCTCTAAACCCATGCCACCATCCAAATACCTACAAAACCCCAAAATTATTCCCTTTTACTAACTATTATAGTTCTAATGCTAAATAAAAAAGAATGGTGGTAAGGCTTTATAGGAATTGAAAGATGAGATAATTATTAAGGATTATTTGGAGGTTAATGAAAATACAATTATGGTTTAATGGTCGACCAAGGCCTAATTATCTAGCTTAATAGAGAGTAACAATAATAGAGTCAGAGATAATATAAGTAATCAAATGGGGTAACATCCTTACCAAAGAAACTTCAAGAATTTGATATGGCTTCCGCTGCAACAGGGGCCTCCACTTCAGCCAGCCACAAGGCATGTACCTGGAAAACTTGGACCGGCTGGTCCAGGTGGTTTCGGCCCAGGAGGAGATGGCGGAAGGGAGAGAGCTTCAACTCTTATGTTGGGGCCCAGCAAAGAGTTATTACATTATGTTAAAGGACGATCAATTAGGAAAGGATTTTTCCATTTCCTAATTGAAATTCAAATAGGAGAGAGAAATACATTAGAAAGTGGCTAATTTAGGAGGGAATAGGAGCGCTTATTTAAGTCAAAGTTAGGGTTTAGGAGAGTTTTTCTTATATAGAATTTTGTTTTCAGGGTTATATTTCTCTTGTGTGAGGAATCCTAGTAGTGTATAGGGTTTGGGAGAAAAGGTTCTCCTCTCGAAAGATGACCATTATATCTTGCGTGGTTTGTATTTGGTTTTCAATCAATTAAAATCTATTTTTGTGTTGAATCTCGTGGAGTATATTGCTGTTTTGGATACCAAGACGTATCAAATTAGCATAAGAGCCCTTTCTTGGATAGAAATCTAGGTTTTGTTGCTGATTTCTGCTGCGATTTTCCTTGTCGTATGCTAAATTTTGCTATTAGGAGGCCAAAGCCTCATCAAAGTTGTTTTTTTCCGAGAGAACCTTGATCTAGGTACCAATGGTGGAAAAAAAGTTAAGGCATTGGAAGAAAAGTTGGACGGGGAAGTAAGGAAACTACGGGCGGATGTGGAATCAATGAATGAATGTATTTCAGCAATAAAAGGAAGGTTTAGAAACATGGAGGAGATGATGAAGAGGATGTTGGAGCTTCATACTAAAATTGTTTCGTCGAGGTGAGAAGAAATTGGAAAGATGACATGACGAGAGAAGAAGGGGAGGTGGAAATTTTAGGAGAGGAGGAAATACTCCACTTGGAGCCTATTCCGAGAAAGGGGATGGGTAGGGAGTATGTAGGGAGGAGGGAATGGGAAGAAGAGAGCAAGCAGGCTTAATTTGGAGGAAGGAGGGGATACAAATGGGGAAGGGAAGAAAGGGAGCCGTGGAGGGACCATAATGGTCATGCCATGGGAGGTATGGGAGGCGGAAGGGTGCATTGGGGCGAAGGGGATATGAAGATTATAAAGCTAAAAGTCTCTATTTGAAGGGGATAACGCACATGGCTGGATATATAAGGTGGAGAGATATTTTACAGTGAACAGGTTGACAGAAAATGAGATACATGGCCACCGCTCTATGTCTGGAAGGGAAGGCAATGACATGGTACCAATGGCGAGAGGTGAGGTAACCAATCCATTCTTGGGATGAGTTCAAGGAATACTTGTTGGAGCACTTTCAAGCAGAGCAGGATAGGGATTACTATGAGCAATTTTTTGCCTTGACACAGGATGGCACTGTGATGGAGTATCGTGAAAAATTTGAGCTTCTGTCAGGACGAGTAGGGAGGTTATCAAAGGCAATGTTGGAAAGAAAATTCATGAATGTCCTCAAAACAGAGTTGAGGGCAACAGTACGAGTGACAAGAGCCCATGATCTGGGAGATGCAATGGAGTTGGCATAAATTATTGAGAACAAGAAGTCACTACAGAAGAGTCGTAAAGGGGACAGTGGAGGAGGCTCTTACCACACGACAACCACTTTCATGGTACTAAGGCAGCAAACTGTACCAATTAAAAGGGAGACGCCAAAGGATGGCTTGGATGATGATGGGCACAGGAAATATAGAGAAGAGAAGAGGGATATGTCAGGTTTTGATGGTAGAGCTGCGAAGGCTTCACATTAGGAAGGATTTTCTCCCATTTGAATTGGAAATTATTAATTTAATTTTGGGGATGAAGTGGCTCCAAACCTTGGGGGAGACCAAGGTAAAGTGGAAAGCATTTGCCATGGAGATCCAAGTGGAGGGAATAAATGTGGTAATTTTTTTTTTTTTTTTGGGGGGGGGGGGGCTTTTTAACGGGGGGGCTATCTAAAGTAATGGTTTCTCTGAAAGCCATGGTTCGTGCCCGACAAGGGGAAGGAGGGGGATTCTTAGTGTTTCTTCAAAGTCTGGAGGGAGGTGAGATAGAGGATGGAGAGGACATTCCAGAAATTGTCCAACCCCTTCTTCAATAGTTCAAAGAGGTATTCCATCCTCCCTAAGGATTGCAACCCCCAAGAGAGCACGAGCACTCTATTGTTCTAAGAGGAGTATCCCCCATCATTGTTCGGTCGTACTACTACCCTCAGTTCAAAAGGATAAGATTGAGAAGTTGATTTGGAAGATGCTTGAAGATAAAATTATTAAACCCAGTGTGAGCGCTTTCTCTAGTCCTGTATTGTTGGGGAAAAAAGGACGGAAGCTAGAGGTTCTGTGTAGACTATCGTGCCCTGAATTAGGAAATAGTACCAGACAAGTTTCTCATACCCATCATTAATAAGTTGTTAGATGAGCTACATGAATATGTGATATTATTGAAAATTGACTTAAATCCGGATACCATCAAATCAGAATGCGACCAGGCGACACCCAATAAAATAGCTTTTCAGATGCATGAGGGACACTATGAGTTCCTGGTGATGC